AATGTAAAACCAGCCGCTAATGCAAAATTTGGCGCTATTGTCTCCTTACTTTGCATATTTTTTGTGTAGCTGTAGAATCTCAATTAAAAAAAAAACTGATCCAAACCTGAAGTTATATGATACTTTTTTATAATTTACGTTTGTGTTTGAAATGTATTCTTAATTACATTATATTTAAATATTCTATCCAATAGTTATGTTATTTAAAATTTTAATGTTTTTACTTCATTTTGCTATGAAAGATTTATAAATTTCTTTAACTTTCGGCAAACGTTCTTAAAGGTACCGGAAATTCTCATATCAAATACAGTAGCTGCTTTTCATAGGAATAATCGTATAAACAGTAAAAATAGTTGTTGAAACATTGACTTTAGAAACTGTCACACTAGAGGACAAAACGCTTGATCTGTGTTCTTACCCAAGTGAAATTCTGTCTTTTCAGGCAGCTAAGTTGGGACATTGCCTTGATAAACCAGGCTAATTATCCCAAAACCAAAAGACACAAGGGTGACACGACGGTCATAACATTGAAATTGATCTGCTAATCAGTCTTATATGAAAAATATTGTTTTAAAAATAGGACTTGCAGTTTAAGTCAATATGTGGGGAAGCACCAATCTTGCATACAGATTGGCGTGTTCAGACAATTTCTGTTGCAATAATGGAATGACAGTTATGGAGCACATCTTTAACTCACAGTATTAACGGATCATGATACTGACCCTGATTAATTAAAGGATAAAAAGACCATGATAGAGGATGGTGTGAAGCCATACCATACCACTTTGAATGATGTTGCAAGTGTTTTTTGCTTATCACTGCTGCCAGAAACTAATTTTTGGCTATGATAGATACATTGTATGGATAAAATTAATTTTTCACCCTTGTGTAGAGCATGTCCAACTGCCATGATACTGCACATGCATTACTGCTGTCAAGAGAATTTTCCATTTCATGCTACAATATTGCAGCTGCAGTGTGAAAGGATTGGTGATTACATGGCCCAAGTAATTAATTACAAATTACAAAAATTAATTACAAAAGTAAAAAATCATGAGTATGACACTAATTGGTTGTACTGTACTGTACATCTGACAATTGGAATTGTGAAATTTATGTGGGAAAGAGGATGGTGGTAGTAATATTCTTCGATGTATGGAGGGAGAATATATACAATAGTTGGGTTTTGTACTTGGATAATTGTTTATATCCCTGTAGACAGGGAGAGAAATGATGGTAGTCAAGATAATTTGAAGGTAATTAAAATATATATATTTGGACATCAAAACTAGAACAAAAGCCTATGACAAAGTTCTTAAGAACTTATAAAAACTCCTAACTTAAGATGTGTCCCTCAAGTTTGATTGATTAAAAAGTCAAGCTAAATATTCAGGGCAGAGATCCAAAATTCCATTTGTCGATCAGCAAAATGAAATTTACAATGATTGTCAAAGCCTTGGAAAAGATCTAAAGGTTAAGGTGTTAGATACTAGTTTTTAATAGTACTGTAACAATATTAATAATGTCTCTTTTTAAAGACAACTTACCACAAGTGTTATCCTCTATCAACTTCAGTAGGTTATATACAAAGTAATCAAATCCTTCGTTTCTTCTTTTTCTCAATGTTTCTATTTTCCCCATAATAAGTACATTTTTTCAGATTGACAATTCCCATATTATTCAAAATGCAAGTTTTATCAATCTGTTTTTTATATAAATTAGAAAAAGATATTTTAAAATATAGCAAATGCTTAACATCAAAATCATTACATCCTATCAAAATTGAGTTAAAAATTGTTAAATTAGCTCTAAAGCATTTAATAGAGATAACATGGTAAGTTTAAATGAATTTGATTCATTTAGGATTCATTTATATAAATTTAAATGAATCCTAAATATTAAAACTTAAATAATGGGAAAGGCTTCCAACTTCCTTATTCTCCGCTATTTTTCAAAAATAAATGTTAAAAGTCCTTTCAAAAATGAGAGATTTAGACCAGTCCTAAATACTTGTTTTATTTGATAAGTATATTTATATGTTTGATTCTTTTAAAACAATGTATATTTTCTTCGGTAAGTTTCAAACTGATCCTTTAGAAAGATACCTATTATCAGATGATAATTATCACATTTCTTTAGCTGTTATTAAAATCAGAAAAAAAGTCAAGTTTACTATTTGTTTTACAACCAAATCTGAAAATTTAAAATGTCTCTCACAATTTAAAAAATTTCTGAGTAATTACATTCTGTGAAGATAGTAATTACTCAGAAATTTATAATATACTTCTATTAAATCAAATGTGTATAGTGGATATAAATTTCAATATAACCCAGAATTAGCCCATTACTTTTATATATTGCAGGTTATGCTTGAAATAAAACAACAACAAAAATTAGTTGTTAAAAATGCAAAAAAGTAATCTTAGACAAAAATAGTTTGAGTTTTATTGATATATACATCAAAATTGGCTGTAAAGAACCAACATATTTAACTGTTACTGTTGCAGTTATATGTTTTTGGGTCTTTAAAGTAGTTATTTCCTGTATGAAAAAATTTTATCATTCCAATAATCAACTTGGAAATTTAACTTGGATTTGTGAAAAACTATTTAATAAATGTTTGTGTAAGTAATACTGAACAAGTTTTTCTTTGTAATCAATCATTCTTTATGAGAATTACTTAAATCCACAATTTGTACTATTAATAAAATATTTTAAAATAATTATGTGAAAGAAAAATGATGATTGTAAACAAAAATCTAAAATCAATAGAAAATTAAACTCCAGCCAATTAAATTTTAATTTTTAAATGTATCCTAATAAATTTCGCAATTATGTAAATTGTTAAATTATTTCAATACCAATAAAATATTAATAGTGCTTTAAAAAAACTGAATAAATTTTAATGTTTTTATAGCATTTTGACATTTTTGTTTGGACATAACATTTTATTACGATAAAAAAATTAATGTTATTTGTTCATTAAATAAATTTTTTTTTTTATAAATTGTAGTGTTTAAATTGAATGTGTTTCAATTTTGATTAATAAATATAACACCTGAATAATTTGTTAGTTAAAATGTGTGTGTATTAACATAAATTTAGATATTAAGTATCATTCTTATTTTATAAATTTAATACAGTGCTTTGTTACTTTATTTAAACAATACAGAGTTTTGCATATTGTATGAACTTTCCACATTGACACCTTAAAAAAATTACTGTCAATTAACATTTATTCAAACTATTTCCAGCTAATGATCATCCACTCCATGATGACATCACCAACTCATGCCACAGGCCATATATTTAGATGGTCTTGGCTATGAATCTGGTAACTCCACATTTTTGAAGCAACATGAATATATATTAAAAATCATTTTATATAATTTTCATTAGTTCATAACAAAAAAATCATCATTATAAGCTAATAAATTTTATTTTATAATTTAAAATGCACAAAAATATTACTATTTGATAAACTTTGTGCCATACTTATGATGATTTATTTAATGAAATTTCAACATAGTATTAAAAATCTAAAATCATTTAGTACATTTATATTTAAAAAGAGATGTATAAGGCACATTTGTGAATATGGAGATAAGAAATACATACACATAAAAGCTTTAAAAAGTATTATGGAATATTTACCAACAACCAACACATTTTTCTTTATATTAAAATATCAATAATGGTCTTCTTTCCTTTATATATATCTGAAATAAGAAACTGATATNAGTAAAACCCGTTAAGATGTTCTCACCTAAGATGCTAGAATGTATATGGGGACATGATTTAGTTCAACCACTTTGATGCTTAATAACTAACTATCGTGTTAAACCATCTGACTCCGATTCTGACCACAGAAATTATTAGGCTTCAAACAGGGTGAACAAAATCATGCCCCCCCACACACAGCCTAACATTCACACACAGAAAAATCCTAGAATCTTTTGTATATCTTGAAATTTCAAGGTGTTCCGAGTCCAAAAATGTAAAAATTTGGGAGGGGTCAATTTTTGACCAATCGCTACACTTTCCCTCTATTATATATAACAGCTGAAAAAGCAAAAATTATTGAATACATATTTATATATTACTTAGAGGAGTCTTTTAGCTTTGGAATAAAAAGCTTCTACATTCTATCTTTATTAGAACTCTATTTATTGAATCTTTTATTCTGAGGTCACGTGATGACATCAGAATTTCCAGGTATCTTTTGGTAACATATCCACCCCTGGTCAGAGTCAGATTGGAGTCGGCAAATTTTTACGTGACTCCACACCCCTGCTGCCGATGGATATATCGAGGCAATGTACTTACTGAAAAATACTACGGCATTGATTCAGTCCATGGATCAAAACGTCATCAAAACTCTCAAGGCACACTACAAGAAGCAACTCCTTATGGATATTGTCAGTCAACCTAATGCTAACATCACATCAATTTTGAAAAAGTTTAACATCAAAGATGCAATTATCAATGCTGCATTTGCCTGGCAGCAAGTTAAACCTACTACATTGATTAAATCATGGAAAAATTTTTGGCCCGGTAACCTACTCCTTCCAATAGAAGTTGACAAAGAATCCAACGACCAATCCTTGCAAGTTGTACTAGATGCTGCCCTTCAAATTTGCAACGAAGTGAATTCATCAGAATCAGATGAACTTTACGAAAATGGATTTTAGATGACAATCTCAACGCTGACTTAACAGATGAAGAAATAATTAAGGAAGTGACAGAATCTGATGAAGACGCTGTAAGGAACCAAGTCCGAGCGTTATTTTTATTTTTGCTTTTCTTTTGCTTTCATTATATTTTGTTTGGGGCTTATGTTTAGTTAGGACGAAGGTTTCCTCACCCGTCACCTTAGAAAGAAAAAAAAAAAAAAAAAAAAAAAAAGGTTTTAGTGCCAAACTTTTATTTAATTCGTTTAGAAAGTTCAGTTCAATGGCGAGCACAAGTTCAAAACGAAAGCATAAAAGATAAATGGGACTTTATTAAGAGGCGCAAGTGTGGTGAAACTCCAACTGCAATAGCTAGATTCTATGATATTGGACAAGCTACAGTCTATGACGTTATGAAAAACAAAGACAAAATCGAAAAATTTATGAAATCTGTAGATGATTCTAGGGACAGAAAAACCCTTAAAATGAGTGAATTCCTTGAAGTTGAAGAAGCTCTGTACATCTGGTTTAAGCAACAACGAAGCAGACATGCTCCTATTTTAGGTGACATTTTAAAAATTAAAGCTCAATTTTTTTTGAGGAATTGACAAAGAAAACTGATTTTCGTGCTAGTCACAGCTGGTTCAAAAACTTCAAAAAATGGTATGGATTACAATTTTTGCAGATGAGTGGAGAAAAGTTGAGTGCAGATGAGTCTGAGGTATCTGAATTTATTCAGACTTTAAGCAAGAGGATCACTGAATTAGACCTAACTCCTGAACAACTTTATAATGCTGATGAAACTTGTCTAAACTGGCGGCAACTTCCAACAAAGACAATTATCACTCCAGAAGAAAAAAAAGTTTCTGGTAGAAAACTTCAGAAAGAACGTATCACTCTCATAGTATGCGCGAATGCATCAGGAACCCACAAGTTAAAACTGCTAGTTGTGGGTATGTCCAAAAAACCTCGTGCCCTCAAAAGTGTTAAAATATTGACACTATCAGTTACGTACATGTACCAAAACTGTGCGTGGGTGACAAAAGAAGTTTTTCTGGATTGGTACAAGAACAACTTTGTCCTGCAAGTTAAAGATGAACTAAGAAAAAAACTGCCAAAGAAAGCTCACCTCTTGTTAGACAATGTTCCAGGACATCCTGATAAGGATGAATTAAAAATCAAAACTGCCAATCAGGACTGTGGAGTCTGAGTCGTGGAGTTTTGGTGTTTTAGCCAGAGTCGTCAAAAAATCCGCCGACTCCAATTCCTTTTCTTTTTTTTTACTTCCCAACTTGTTATGTATATAAAACGGAATAGTATTGAAATTGTGTCAAATTTCATCCTCCAATTTTTTTTCTTTTTTACAAAACTACATGTTTGGAGACCTCCCGAACCCTCAAAAAAGTCAATAAAAGGGCAAAATTCGCGCGCCTGTGTGTGTTGGCGTCTAATTTGTTTAGTTTCTTTATTTTCCATTCTGAGATATTAAACATTATCTCAGAATGGGTAAAGTTTAAGAAACGAAATGTGACACTGTAGCTTGCGTATAAAGAGGCATTAATACAGTAGAACCTTGAAAACTCGGCCTAATGTGGGCCAAAGGGTGGCTGAGTTTGTGAAAATGCCGGGTTATCGGGAATGGGGTTAAAAAAAATAAGTACGAGTGTTTCCTCAGAAAATACTGTTCTGTACTTGCATGTATTGTTTACTTGAGAATACAACAGAGAATAAACTGCCCAAATACCCTTAAACAAAGGAAAAGTACATCTTTTATGAAGGAATAGAGCCTTTACTACATGAAAATGAAAATTAATGAATACACTGTACAGTAATTTACCTGATAAGACTGACCTCAGAAAAATACTTTATGAGGCATAAAGCTATCTTTATCATGAAAATTAATTAACTAAGGATTTTTTTGCCCTGCCAGGGTGTGGCCGAGTTATCTGGAGTGCCAGGTTATCGAGTGCCAAGTTTTCGAGGCTCTACTGTACTATTAAATTTTGGTTCATAATTAAAGGATCGACAGGGTGAAGACATAAAAGTGGTCATGTGTCATATCTCTTAATGAATATTTTACTCATTATTATCGTTCAAAATTTAAATAAAACAATAAAATTCGTCTCTACCCTCAAAGTAAGCTTTTTTGTCATTTTATAATAGTACAGTAAAACCCGTTAAGATGTTCTCACCTAAGATGCTAGAATGTATATGGGGACATGATTTAGTTCAACCACTTTGATGCTTAATAACTAACTATCGTGTTAAACCATCTGACTCNGAAAGTCTTGAGTTGGAAAAAGGTTCCTAGTATACTTGAGATGACGGTTAGGATTTAGAGTTGTAAGAAATTCTGTACCTTAAGTTAAGGATTGATTTTTGTCGGAATTCCAAGGGGAATAGTTCTAAGTTAGAATAAGATTGAATTTTGTCGGGTTGACCTTTGGATTTTATTTGTTTGAATAAATTTGTTGTTTTGTTATAAATATTTGTAAATAGTTATTCCTAGATCTTTATTAAATACTTTTATTGATTTGACTAACTTGTCTTTAATTTTATTTCGGTGCACGCGAAAGTCCAGGCCTGGCAAACTAACAAACGCGAACCTGCGTAAAGTACCTAACGGGTACTTTACGCAGGGTACTGGCTCTTTCCGGAATGAAATTCGTTGTAGAGTGATAAGCTAAAAATAGTACTTTACAATGCGACCCAGGAAGCACAGGAGGAAAAATCTTTCACCATCAATGTAATGATGCTGTGTTGGCTGCAAACACTTTGATGCATTGGTGTGAGGAGAGAGCATATGACAGAAAATGACAAGAACAAGCAATGACAGACTGTCTAAACAAGAAAAAGCAAAAGACAATCAAAGATTTCTTCAAAGTGTGAGCACAGTATGTACATACTTACATACCTATGTTGTGGCATTTATTTATAATGTTTATAAATTACTGTATGTACTGTATTATTTATGCCTATACATAATGTATGTACATTTATTGGCTTCCATATTTCTTTTAATAAACATGTTTTAGTTAACCAAAATGGGTGTTTCATTTCCATATTAACCTAGGCAGCATTTTACTCAAAATGTAGGAATATTGTAGGCTACTGCTAGCAAAACAATGCCAAATATGTAATCACGTTCGGTAATCTGACACCCCTTTGGTCCCATACCTGTCAGATTATCAAGTGACAACTGTGTATATATATATTGTAAATACTGTTATATTTAGTTATTAATTTTACATAATTAATTAATTATTATTAGTTTAACTTCCAAATGGCCAATACTTAGAAAAGCTGAATTGAACATAAAGCATCATGATAATGACACTGGAAATTTAAAAAGTTAGATGATATTTTAAAATATTTTCCTGAAAATAAAATCTTCCTTTACAGTACAAGTTTCATAATATACAAAAATCATTTTGCCTGAAAATTCTCCAATTAATCTTTTTGATATTCTCTAAACTGTCCTGGTATTCCAGGTTTTCCCTCAAGCAACTGAATCCTGCTATAATATTCAATTGATTATTCATTAGAAAGTATATTAAAGTCTTTGAATTTAAAAGACAAATCTTATTATTTTCCAGATTTAAGTATATAAGTCATTAAATTATATTCAAACATTATAAAATAACATTAAAGCTATAAAAAAAGATATATAATTACTTTTCTTCATATAATTCCAATTCATCAGAATCAAAACTTCCTTTTTTTAATGCATTCATACATTGACTTGCTAAAGTTTTAAAACACATTTCTTTAATTTTGTTATGAGATTTGTCTTCCCAATTAGGCAGTTTACAAACATATTTCCAAGCCATTAAAACATAATCCATTACTGCTTTCCACTGATGACCATTAATCAGATGGCTACACTGTTCTATACATTCTTTCTAAAATAAAAATAAAGATACAAACTTTTTAAATTCAGAAATGTATTTTATAGAATAGATAATGAAAAAAATATAGTTGGAACTTATTATAGAGGGAAACTGTATAATTCATATCAAATTTAATTTATTAATGAAACTTGGAATGCCTTAATTTTTATTAAAGCATTCCAGAATGTTTACTTCAATTAATTTTCAAATTGTTTGTTCAATTTTGATTTGTTATGGTCTCATCCCAATGTCAGACTAAAGAAATCTGAAAGCATTTTGAGAGTTAATATTTGTTTTTGTTGCACATTTTGCTCTTATCAAGAATCATGGAGGTGACTCCAAATCAAATAAAACATTAATATTCCAAACTTTAAACATAAATGAATAAATTTTTTGTTTTATATTTTTGTTGGTGGCACACATTTATCAGAACATTGTCTGGCAATTTGGTGTATGGTAGAGGTTGCGGCCAAGGTTTTCATCTCTAAAACATGAATGTTCTGACATTCATGTTTTAGAGATGTTGAGCGCCACCATCTTATAATACTAGAAGTTTGACAATGGCATTTGGAATGTCGAGCATGGTGAGTAGAAGTTTGGCTTAAATGTCTGCATTTTTCTATGTTTTGCATTAAAATTATGATGCATTTTATTAAAATAATAATTATTTAAGCATTTATGAATAACATTTTAAAAAACAGATGATTTTAATCCAGAAATTATTTAATTTTTTTGCAAGTGATATGAAGTGCCTATATAATTTTTATATATTTGTGTTCATAACACTATAGAAATAGGTTTGTTCTTTCACGGCATTTTCTACCATTGACAGCATAATACATTTGTAAATTTCTAAAAATAATTTCCCAAGCTGCATTCGGATTGTCATCTGCATATGAATTTATACAAGTCACTACTTCCCTCAACAAAAGTATGTTGTGAGAACAGGCAAAACGCATCAGAATTGTCCTACTATATCGTAAGGTAGGAGAAATGATGCTAAGTTAAAAATAATTATTTAGTGTTATTAAATATCCTCTAAATATTTTAAAATACAGTAGAGCATCGTTTATCCGAAGGTCGGTTATCCAAAGGAATTCCAGTGGACAAATTTAAATTTTCGCCAGTGCTGTGGCGCTGTAATCTTTGGCTATGTCTTTGGCTACTCAAATATTTTACGTTTTTGATACTAAATTAACTTCTGAAGTATAATTTTTTATTGTTTTTATATTTTTCAATATATTTATTTTGTTTGTACAAAATAAAAAAATAATTTTTAATGATACAATAGTCTTCGTTAGGCTTAACATTGACGAAAATTCAACGCAAAGCGACACGCAATGGAGAAAAATTTCAACATGGGATAAATTAATATATTTTTTCATACATAATTGGTTATCCGAATAACCCCAGTCCCCAATTGATTCGGATAAACGACGCTCTACTGTAGTCTAATTTGTTTATTTACATTTGTTGGTAACCTTCGTCATTCTTAAATGTTTCCGCCATTTTTCAACAATATCCTATGAATCAGTGCGCAATGTAAATGTGTGGCACGAGTTTTACTTGGAGTTCAAACATCAAACATGTACTGTACTTCTGTTTGTCATACAAGTTTAAAGTTTGAACTTTGTCACAAGCTCTCTAGTATTTTTTCTTTTATAAATATAATAATCCATATGGAATGAAATAATATCACTTATGAACTGTAAATGTTTGAAAAATAAAATGTCATCAGCTGAAAGTAGGTGTTTTTTAAATAGTATTTTCTTCTAAATTGAAATTAATCAGATTAATTTCTCAATCTACTGTTAAAATGCTTTATTTTTGTAACATGTTCAAATTGATGTTAGTTAAAGAAAAATTTTATACTTACTTTAAAAAGATCCAAATGAGTACAAACACGGCGATAGCAATAAACATCTTTATCTGCAGACCAAACATTTCTGGGAATTGATTTTAAAATATTCTTTTGTAAATAGGAAAGTTTTGCCTCTAGAGGTTGTATATCAACTGCTGGAAGAATGTCATTTATTACCTAGAAAAATTATATTAGAAAATTATAATTTTTTTAATATTAAAAAATATAAAAAAATATTAATATACAAAAATAAGAGTTTATGTTAATTTACTTGTATTATATCTGGTTGTCTCTCAATAAGTTCATGAACTAATTGAACTAATTGGGTTTGATTTAATGCATTAATAGCAATTTCAGGACTAACAACTGGTTTTGGAGAATGTTGGAGTCGAGCTCGTTTATTTGGAGAACCAATCTAAAATTTTTAAAATTATATTAGCAGTTTAAAATAATTAATTACTACACGTTTACAAATGTATTAATAAAACAAAAATAAAATTTTCATCAATTTGATAACACAGTAAGGTGGTTGGGTCCCAACCAAGTGATCATAATAGTCGATGATTAAATAACTGGAAAAAAAAAATGAAACATCCTATATTGTACCAAGCAATAAAAGATTCATTTACTTTTGACTACATTCTTTACATATTAAGTCAATGATAAACCGTTTATATGAATATTGGAACAAAATTCTTTGATATTGCATTCCACCTTATAAGACCTTCACACTTTCAGCCTCTCATTGTTGGATTGTTAGTTATATCAACCTCATCATCAATTTTTCTTCAGCCATATCAGTATTGTGCATCGTAGCTACTTCTTCCATGCTGTAATAACAGAACATGTTTCTTCTGTAAGAGTTCTTCAGTGTAGATAGATGCCTTCATCAATTTTCATCCATGCATTGAAATTGGACACCGACATTGTCAGGACTTAAATCACCATTGTTTTCCTCTACTTTCTCTTCAGTTTTATTTTCATTTGTGCCTTTAGTAAATGCTTAAAATAATTGACAGTTGTGCTTGATTTAACTTTTTTAATACAATATTTTAAAGGATGATGATAAAAAATCCACATTGATTAAAAAATTTTCCTGTATTTGTAGGCTACTGCTGGAGTTTGAATTTGTTATCCTCCCTGTAGTGTACTTCTGTTGGAACTGCCTAGAAAAGTCTGTTATGAGGTGTACACATCAGTTTGAGGTAAATTCATCATCACCTTATAAAGGATACTGGAAATTATATGAAAGTGACTCACTAAAACCTTTGATTATCCAGTAAAAACATTTAATTGAGATAACAAACGTTTTTGACCTTAAATATCGGTCTTCATCAGGTTTACAATTACTGAGATTCTAAGAACAGTTTCATGATACGATTTAAACATTTAGAAATTTTTGAATCTTTCGTACAAAACTGTTGTTGCCATGGATGCAGACATAACGTTGCTATAGACATCACGCAACGTACAAATGAAAGTAAATGTGCATACTAAATACACTAATATATCACGTGTGTATTATAAACAGATGGATGTGCGAGTTAAACCGTGTTGTGTGGGGTTGTCGTCACATTCGTACCTGAACTTCCAAGCATGAGATATATTAATAGCATCCTTGGAATTGATGCAGTTAGTATGTAATCTGGCCTTATATATTTCAAGGGTTTCTAGAGATCATAAGTGTTCCAAATGGTTTGAGAGTCTGATCAGTTTGGCATTGTTAAAGTCAGCACTTATGCCAGGTGTCGAGGCATAAGTGGATAGGGCGGTATTATCTTTGTTGTGATCAATATCATATTTGTGTTCATGCAGACACCTGTTGAGAGATCATTTCATTCACCCAACATACACAAGCTCTTTTTGAAACTTGTATCCCATAAAGGTATAGAATATACCTCTGGAGCAAGTTTTTTCTTTATTTTGTCCTTGCCATTATGAAGAAGGTTATATATTAGGTCTCTTAGGTATTAAGTCTCTTGTAAGAAATCTTTTTTCATGTATATATGTGTTGCAATTTCTCTGTAAATAGAGTCAAGGTGGTAGTTATATTCAACCACAGCCAGGAACCTATTGTTACCTATGTTGTGAGTGCGATTATTTGTATTATTTATATGTGTTATTAGGGTTTAATTGTGAAGAATAGACCCATGCAATGTTATAAATTAATTTTTTATCATATCTGTGTCATGTGGCTGTGCTGTAATTCAAAAAGAGTGTCTTCAAAATTAGAGTTGTAGTTGAATGCTCTTTTGGTTAGTGTCCTGAAAGCCAGCTATTTTATAAGAGAAGGGGTCTGCTGAACAGGCTGGGATGAATAATGGAGTGTAGCATGACTTGTAATGGACCTTAGTAGTTAATATCTTGCTGCCTTCCATTTGCAGATTGATGTCCAAAACATTTGCATTTGCATTGCTCATCTGGTCTAACTTGACACAAAGGCCATATGGGTTATTGTTCATTGCCCCCATGAAATGGTTAATATTGGACTCAGTTTTCCATAAAATAAGGATGTCATCCATGTATCTTTTATATATAAGGATGTTTGGCATAAATAGGGGTATGATTCTTTGTTCAAGTTGTCTAATCACTAATTCATATAAATCCTGAATAGTGGGCTGCCTGTAGGAAGACCACATTTTTGAATGTAAGTCTTGTTGTTGAAATGAAAAAAGGATGTGTAGCAAAGAATGTCGGCCAGTTCTAATGTGTGTTTACTGTGTGCTGTAGTACCATGATAGTTTAGTAGTAGATCCCTAATTGCACAAAAGAAAGGTTGGATTTTTATTGACGGGTATAATGAAACAAAATCAAATATAGTGATGTGGGTCTGCTCAGTTATGGTAAGGGGTCTCAAAGTGTCTATTAACTCAATGGGGTTCTTGATTGTCCATGGATAATAATTCAAGCTGTGAACTATACACATTTGTGTATAAGCAGTTTCTAAAGCCCTAGTTGGGGATCTAGCCTTGTCAAGGACAGGTCTCAAAGAAGGAGTATCCTAGTGGGTTTTGGCAAATGCAAATAGCCTGGGAGTGTCAGGAGAATCAATTACAGCCCTGTTTGTTTGTTTCCAATACTCTCACAAGAGAAGTTTTGGAGCACGTGTAAAAAGATTTACACAAACTCCTCTTGCGAAAGTGTTGGACCTGAAGAACTAACTGTACAGTACATCTGCAATGCATCCATGCAGAACCTTCTCTCTGATAGATTGGATCATGTAATGCAGCTTTCATCCAACACTTGGAAGAATGTATTGCTTGTAATGGTGACCACCTATCTAATATATTCAGGAAATGACTTAAATATTATGATATGCAAATGGCCTATCTTTGGTTGTACGCTGATGTTATTTTCAAATATAGTGGTACCTCAGTATACATCTTCTTTAGAATATGTCCAATTCAAAATACATCCTGTTTGGACGAAACAAATTTTGCTCGGTATACGACTTAATTCAATTATACGTACCATATATGAACAAGTAGCTCTATTGGTGTACTAGACCAGACTAGACGTTTGCGGTGCCACAGTTTATAACTGTTAAATTTCTTCTGATTTTAATTTGTAAGTAAAATTTTATTATTTTTATTAATCATGAATTGCAAAAAGGCAAATGAGAAGCAACAGAAAAACTAAAAAAATAACTACAATCACAATGGAACTGAAAAAAAGATTGTTGAGAAATATGAAGGTGGCATGTTCGAGATTTTAACTGTTGCATATCGCATTCCGAGAACAACGATATCGACAATTGTGAAAAATAAAGACATTATTAAATCTGCTAACATTGCAAAAGGGGTTAAAGCCAGCCATTTTTTTTTTTACATGAGAATGGATTAATCATTTTTACATTACTTCTTATGGGAAAGGTTGGTTTGGTATACATCCTATTCGGTATAAGTCCATCAGGAACGGATTAAGGTTCCACTGTACTGTATATTCATTCAATGGTTATGTTTTTCTGCTTCACGTATACAAGGTTGAGCTATAAATTTTGACCAACCCTTCTATATGAGTTAAGGTACTGTGTAAGTTCCATATTTAGAAATAAAAATTATTATAAATTTGTAATTGATTGTTAATTTTGTTTGTCTATTTACTATTTTTGAATTCTGTAATTTGCAAGTTACAGTTTAAAATATACTTACATTAGCTAGTCTTTTAGATCGTGATTGACTATAGAGTTCTTCAGTTGATAATACATCATGTCCAAGGTTCAAACGTTTTCTAGGTGAAGTGCGAGTTGGAAGAGCTTTCACTGGAGTTCCAGAATTTAACTTACTAGGTGTTCTAGTATTTCGAGGAGATTTAGGAGTCTTGGGTGGTGTCAGAGCTTGCATATTTGCTATAAAAATAAAAACACATGAAAATTCAAGAAACATCTAAATATACAAAAGCTGATCATTTCCATTTTTCCCCATGTGAATGGAAAAATTTCAGCTGTAGCCTCTCTGAATTCTCATGATAAGACCCAATAAGTTTATCAGTCTCAATTGTTTCTTGAATAGTTTGTCATTGATACTTTAAAGCATTTCTGTTCCTTGAGGATAAAATTAAGTATTTAAAGAATACAATTGTCTATTTACACATTTTGTGCTCCAAGAGATAACACTGAAATTCTCAAACTCCATTGTACTGTTTGAAAAATGTCCAGAATTTGCTAAAGTGAAATGATTTCACTTTAGCAAATGATTTCACTTTAGCAATGTTCGTAGTTCGTGGTTTACCATTATCATGATAATGGTAAACCACGAACTACGAACATTGTGCAGCCAGCATTATAATTAGAGTTAAGGTACTGTCTGTCACATCCCTATATTTGCCAGTTTTGGTCACATGTTATTTCTATTACCGATGAAAGACAAGTATTTTGCATCTGACAAGGAGGCATGAAGAATCATTATCAGAGATTGCACTACCAGTATATGATTTAATATTGTTTAATCACTGAGAAATATCAGTGTTGGTTCACCAATGAAAAGATTCTTGCTGTAGACATCGTTTATGCATGGGCTGGGTCAACTGGCTATACTTAACAATGCTCTTTTACTGAGAGTATTTTTTCACTTACTCAAGCTACACATAATGGCAATTTCTGCCAATACTGTCTATAGGAAATAGGATAGGTTACTTCAGTGTTTTTCAGACACCTGGCAGATTGTAAAAATAGGGATCTATTATGTAAAACTTAATATCTGTTTTGTTTTCAGAAGTAGGGTTTAATTAAAAGAATTAATATGAAATTCTTTTAATTAAACCTCAGTTACTTAAATAATTTAAATGGCTTACCAGCTGCTATTTGGGCAGCCTTACGTCGACCTCTTTGACGAATTACTTCTTCTTCTGGAGATGTGGAATTAGAATGCCACAACATATTTTGTTGATTATTAGGTGTCACTGTTTAATTTAAAAATCATATGATTATTATTTTTCAATGCTAAAAATATTTGAATAAATAATAAACCAATAAAATTTTATAAAATAAATTTATAATGTTATTATTATTAATAAAATTTAATTCTTAGAGAACTTTACGACAGACTTCTAATTTCCAAACCTGATATAAACAGATAAATTTGAATTCTTCAATAAGTTAATATTGAAAGTTTTTGTTTTTGAAAATTAATTTAGAAACTATGTAGATGCATATGAAAGATTATATAGTTAAAAATAGGACAACATAATTAACATTTATCCACTTAAATCAAAATATATCACAAAACTCCATTATTTCACATTTTGTAAAATTTAGCTTTTCAATAATTACAGTCAGTCTGTGGAATCAACTTAGGTATTAACCAGTAAACATCAGCCATTGATTGCTTAGTTAAGGAAGAAACAGGAAGTAGCTTGCCATATTTGTTAAATATGTCATCACCATTATAAACAATTCTTATGAAAGCTTCATGTTCTGGTATTGGAATATGAGGAAATTCACTTTAGTTGTTAAATAGCTTGCTGTCCACACTCTTTTAACTTTACCACAAATACATTGAACAATATGCAAGCAATAGGCTCCAATTCGTATAAGAGATGCTAAATTAATAGCCTTTGTTTTACAAATCAAATCAAAAACTGCTTTGTCATTATTAGGCAAATCACTGCCAACAGTTATTGGGCTGCGGTTTTCAAATTCCAGATCTATAGAACCTCACTACTGTCTTCCTTTCTTAATCTTGAGAACAGTTAGTTAATTAGATAAAAATCAAGACTGGAAGGTTTAGGGGCCAGAGGAAATGATTAACTATATATGAATTTCCAGTCTGGATGGAAAGTCGTGATTTTCTAAATTAAAACTGTCAAGGAATGTAAATTTCATACTGTGCTCCTCTCAACTGCCAGGGGGCATTGAATCTTCCCACACTGTTTGCTGTACTTCACCGTACTGTAGCACAGAAGGAATGTGCTGTTCTGCTGTTCTTTCTGTATTCGTTCATTTATTAAACAGTTTACAGTTAAAGCAATGTACCACTGTACATTCTTTCTTCACTTTTAACAGGTTATGGGCCCAGATGTTCCAGTAAGTTACTTAAATTTTATCTAGTGTAACTTTGTTTAGTCAAGTAGTCAAAATGAAGAGAGTTGCAACAGTCATGCCAGTATTAGAAATAAATAATTTCAATAACTGGAAATTTAGAATTATATCTACTCTAAAAAGAGAACAGAGCAAGGATGTGATTTACAGTGATCCACCAGACAAGGAAGCTGAAAGAAAGAAAAATATATGATGAAAGATGCAAAGGCACAGTCAGTAATAATACAAGGAATCTCAGATAAACATTTGGATATAATTAAGGATTATAAAACTGCAAAAGTTACTAGCTCTGAAAGACACACTCTTCAAAAAAAAAGCTCTTTCGCTAAATTGACATTGTGAAGATGACTATTGAACTTACGCTTCTGTAAGAAAGAAAGCCTGGAAGACTGTTTTCTAAAGTTTAATACAATCATGATAGACCTTCAAGATCTCAGATCCGAAACTGCTTAAGATATGTGTCATTTATTACTTTCCCTGCCCTCCAAGTATGATACAGTTGTGACTGCTTTAAAAACAATGGCAGAAATCAAAATGGATTTTGTCAAAGCAAGATTACTAGATAAGAAAATAAAATTAAAATTTCATGAAGAAAATAATTTATGCCCGGAAACCAATGAAGTCAGTATCAAGGCAAACAATAGAGGTTGCTACATATGTGGGAGAAAATAACATTTTCAGGCACAATGCCCAGGGAACCTATTCTTAGTTGTATCATTAAACTAATGAATATGATAAAAATCAGTTTCTATCAAAACCATGTGATTGATGTTTAATCAACTGTGAAAATGCTATTCCAAGCCGTACATTTAGTTTTCGGTTCCAATAGCCACATGCAATAACTAAGCTTTTCTTATCAATCATTCTCAAGGTGTCTTAGGAACATAATGAAAGAACAACATGGCGACTTTAGATGTACGGATATCACTCACCAACAATTGGAGAGAGAGAAAATTAGGGCCTCAAGTCTAAAGTGCAAAATTTTCTACAAAAAAAAAAAAAAAAAAAAAAAAAAAAAAAAAAAAAAAAAAAAAAAAAAAAAAAAAAAAAAAAAAAAAAAAAAAAAAAAAAAAAAAAAAAAAAAAAAAAAAAAAAAAAAAAAAAAAAAAAAAAAAAAAAAAAAAAAAAAAAAAAAAAAAAAAAAAAAAAAAAAAAAAAAAAAAAAAAAAAAAAAAAAAAAAAAAAAAAAAAAAAAAAAAAAAAAAAAAAAAAAAAAAAAAAAAAAAAAAAAAAAAAAAAAAAAAAAAAAAAAAAAAAAAAAAAAAAAAAAAAAAAAAAAAAAAAAAAAAAAAAAAAAAAAAAAAAAAAAAAAAAAAAAAAAAAAAAAAAAAAAAAAAAAAAAAAAAAAAAAAAAAAAAAAAAAAAAAAAAAAAAAAAAAAAAAAAAAAAAAAAAAAAAAAAAAAAAAAAAAAAAAAAAAAAAAAAAAAAAAAAAAAAAAAAAAAAAAAAAAAAAAAAAAAAAAAAAAAAAAAAAAAAAAAAAAAAAAAAAAAAAAAAAAAAAAAAAAAAAAAAAAAAAAAAAAAAAAAAAAAAAAAAAAAAAAAAAAAAAAAAAAAAAAAAAAAAAAAAAAAAAAAAAAAAAAAAAAAAAAAAAAAAAAAAAAAAAAAAAAAAAAAAAAAAAAAAAAAAAAAAAAAAAAAAAAAAAAAAAAAAAAAAAAAAAAAAAAAAAAAAAAAAAAAAAAAAAAAAAAAAAAAAAAAAAAAAAAAAAAAAAAAAAAAAAAAAAAAAAAAAAAAAAAAAAAAAAAAAAAAAAAAAAAAAAAAAAAAAAAAAAAAAAAAAAAAAAAAAAAAAAAAAAAAAAAAAAAAAAAAAAAAAAAAAAAAAAAAAAAAAAAAAAAAAAAAAAAAAAAAAAAAAAAAAAAAAAAAAAAAAAAAAAAAAAAAAAAAAAAAAAAAAAAAAAAAAAAAAAAAAAAAAAAAAAAAAAAAAAAAAAAAAAAAAAAAAAAAAAAAAAAAAAAAAAAAAAAAAAAAAAAAAAAAAAAAAAAAAAAAAAAAAAAAAAAAAAAAAAAAAAAAAAAAAAAAAAAAAAAAAAAAAAAAAAAAAAAAAAAAAAAAAAAAAAAAAAAAAAAAAAAAAAAAAAAAAAAAAAAAAAAAAAAAAAAAAAAAAAAAAAAAAAAAAAAAAAAAAAAAAAAAAAAAAAAAAAAAAAAAAAAAAAAAAAAAAAAAAAAAAAAAAAAAAAAAAAAAAAAAAAAAAAAAAAAAAAAAAAAAAAAAAAAAAAAAAAAAAAAAAAAAAAAAAAAAAAAAAAAAAAAAAAAAAAAAAAAAAAAAAAAAAAAAAAAAAAAAAAAAAAAAAAAAAAAAAAAAAAAAAAAAAAAAAAAAAAAAAAAAAAAAAAAAAAAAAAAAAAAAAAAAAAAAAAAAAAAAAAAAAAAAAAAAAAAAAAAAAAAAAAAAAAAAAAAAAAAAAAAAAAAAAAAAAAAAAAAAAAAAAAAAAAAAAAAAAAAAAAAAAAAAAAAAAAAAAAAAAAAAAAAAAAAAAAAAAAAAAAAAAAAAAAAAAAAAAAAAAAAAAAAAAAAAAAAAAAAAAAAAAAAAAAAAAAAAAAAAAAAAAAAAAAAAAAAAAAAAAAAAAAAAAAAAAAAAAAAAAAAAAAAAAAAAAAAAAAAAAAAAAAAAAAAAAAAAAAAAAAAAAAAAAAAAAAAAAAAAAAAAAAAAAAAAAAAAAAAAAAAAAAAAAAAAAAAAAAAAAAAAAAAAAAAAAAAAAAAAAAAAAAAAAAAAAAAAAAAAAAAAAAAAAAAAAAAAAAAAAAAAAAAAAAAAAAAAAAAAAAAAAAAAAAAAAAAAAAAAAAAAAAAAAAAAAAAAAAAAAAAAAAAAAAAAAAAAAAAAAAAAAAAAAAAAAAAAAAAAAAAAAAAAAAAAAAAAAAAAAAAAAAAAAAAAAAAAAAAAAAAAAAAAAAAAAAAAAAAAAAAAAAAAAAAAAAAAAAAAAAAAAAAAAAAAAAAAAAAAAAAAAAAAAAAAAAAAAAAAAAAAAAAAAAAAAAAAAAAAAAAAAAAAAAAAAAAAAAAAAAAAAAAAAAAAAAAAAAAAAAAAAAAAAAAAAAAAAAAAAAAAAAAAAAAAAAAAAAAAAAAAAAANATTAACTAGGGTGATCCGTTAAAGCTGCGAAAAGTATTCCATTTCTCAAATTACCTATGTGCAGAGTATCTAGGTAATCTGCAAATTACCTACTAGGCACTCGGTAAAGTGAAATCAAGATTTTTGCTGGAACAACAGCAACGTTTCTGTACGCTTAAATTAAGATATCTATATATATAACCCATTCAACTGTCCGTCTGTCCCGTAACCGTTTGATAACGGACACTAGAGGCGCCCCTATCGTGTGTCATATTTCAAACATTCAAATTAACAATTTTAATTCTTATTTAAATTAACAACATGAATTATTATTATTCATTTTGGCCAATAAATTATTATTTGGTCAATATAACAATATAAATAATTCAGTGTATTTGTAATAGGAATTTATTATTTCAGGGGCTTATATCTCTCGAAGGGTCGCGAGTAGGGGTATGGTTCCTTTGCCTTTATTGTTCGCACAGGGGGCTACAGTTTGGGGGGGGTCACCACTTCTTTACCTAATCTTACCATTGGGACTAACAGAGCTGTAGAGCATATTGATAGGAACAAAAAAGTCAAAGGAACTGTGTTTCATGGAAATTTGTAAACAATGCCCAATAGGGGGCGTCCTGGACTACTAGTATTTTAGAAATGAAAACTCAACATGGTCTTACTGTGAAAAGACTGCAGTTACGTAATGGTAGCAAATTCATTACAAATTGTCTAAATGGACATAACTTATTAATAGGATTTTTTACCAGTGTATTGGTTATTGACACAAACAGGCCGGATTAATCCACTGTG